TCCCAACTTCCACTCCTCCAATCTCCCATCTCCCCCCCAAATGCCTCATGTGGCTTTACCTCATTTCACAAGAGCATCAGAGGGAAGCGTGGGAAAAAAATGTGCTCTGCCTTTTACATTTTCATTATTTAAAATGTTTTGAAGTACAAGGAGAAGCCAGTTCAGCAGAAGGAAGTTTGACTTTGAAGTGCAATATATACGGGACATGGGCAAAAAAGGGAATCTATGATTGGGAGGAGGAACGGCGGTGTGGTGTGGTCAGGCTCAGACTTTGTATTCACAGTAGTGGATTACATTTGCCTGCATGCACGTCCAGGAACTTTTTCATGTTCCTCAAAACAAGGAATTTGAACCCTGCCTCTGTCCTCAGTACAACCTCTGTGCACATGAAACCAACGTTCTTTCAGACAAAAACACACCACAACAGCCATGAAAGGACCAGTCTGGTGGCCAATTATCTGCTGCTAATGATTTTTTCTGGTTGAGACCATGCATCTCATCAAGAACGGGACAAACCCACTCCTGCAAGGCATCATCTCCCCTCGCCTTCATCTGCCGGCGGGTTTGAACGAGGACACCAAAATATATCCCACTCAAAACTCTTGAGTGTGTGTGTGCCTGTGCGAGTGCGTCTGCCGGTGCATGTGCGCACACACTCGCAACTGTCTTCTCATTAGCAAGCAATTAGGTTGATGGCTCTTTGAAATGTTACTCAGCGAGAATTTGCTTGACAAGCGAGAGTGGCGCGGCAGTACAGTATAAACAGGAGCTGGGAGGAGGGAGGCTGGAGTGGAGTGGAGTGAGGGGGGGGGGCTTTAAATCGACCTTTATTCAACCGCACCAATTAGCTGCAAACTCTGATTTACAGGAAGCGCCTGAGCAGCGTGAGTTTGATTGGACAATGGACGGGGACGTTTATAATGTTAATGGACTGTCCAGATGCTGTGAAAAAAATTCCCTGTGTGACTAAAGGAAGACTTGGACTTGAGAAGTGGAGACAGGCATGGGGCTGCGAGGGAGATGGACAGATACGGTGTGTGTGTGTGTGTGTGTGTGTCTCATTTAAATAGCATGAAGAGGCTACAGAAGCTGACACTGTGTGTCCTTGGTGCATCCATAAGCCATTTGAACAAAAACACCAGCCTCTCTTTCCTTCATCTCCTTCCTCAGTTATCACTCTAACTGTATCTGATATTATCACCGCTCACGGCTGTAGCTTTATCCCCTCATAATAAAATGTGTATGCGTGTGTATAGACACGTGCGCGCCCTCGTTGGAGTCTGTCTGCATATGTGCGACGGTGACACAAGCAACAGATGCCATTAGCATTGAAGACATTCAATTCTCAGCACAGTGGCAAACAATGCAATTAGAGCGCGAATGCATTTTCGTCACGGGACATCTATGTTTGTGTGTGTCT